TTGTGTAGCCAAGTCCTTGGTGAATATCCTAGAACATGTGTCCTTGGTTTGTACAACAGAATTTTCCATATCTTTAATTTTTGTTTTCATTTTGCACAGTTCATTTTTAAGTCTATTTCTTCCCTCTCCTATTTTACTATAGGTGGCCCCTTTAAAATTTTGCTTAGAAATATCTTCCGGATACCCAAGTTCATTATTTAAAACTTCTACCTTCCACCAAACACTTGAATATAAATTCAGATGAGTTCTTTGCCATTGTGTAAAAATCATTGCTCTTCTTCCATTGCCCTTCTTCCATTGTCCAATCACATGTTCATCATTTTCTTTTAAAGCTTCATTAGAAGCACATTTAACATCCACATTTCTAGCAACATTCTGTTGCTGGCACCATATGTATTCTCTAAGACAGTAGACATTTTCTCTACAACTCTCCTCATTTCTATCTCCGCCCTCACCAGAATTGCCTTTAACCTCTATAATTCTATCAACACTCTTTTTGAGGCAATCTAGTCTTTTATTATAACCAAACTCCAAAGTCACCGTCATTGAGTTGATTCCTACTCATAGTGACCCTGATTGGGTTTCCAAGGCTTATAAATATGGAAGCACACCACCGACCCTCTTTCTTCTGTGGAGTGGCTGGTGGGTTTGAACTGCTGACCTTTTGGTTGGCAGCTTTAACCACTGCACCACCAGAACATTTCCAGCCCTACCCATTACCCAATTCCAAAACCATTTCCACATTTTAGGTGTCTGTTAGAGCAGCACCTCACTCATAAAGTACCAAATTCTACCTTTGTTACCTAGTGCTGCTGTTATAGAAACACCACAAGTAGGTGGCTTTAACAGATAGAAATTTACTCTCTCATGGTTTAGGAGGCTTGAATTCCAAATTCAGGGTGCTATTTCTAGAGGAAGGCTGTCTCTCTGCTGGTCCTAGAGGAGGATCCTTACCTCTTTCCACTTCTTTTCCTGGGTGATTTTCACGTGGATTGCCATTTCTGTCCTCCCAGCTCTGTTTCTCTAGTTTGCTTGTTTACTCTCTTTTACATCTTGAAAGAGATTGATTCAAGGACACCCTACCTGAATCCTGCTTCATTACCATGACAAATGCAACCTAGTCCCAAATGGGATTATAGCTAAGGGCATAGAAGTTAAGATTTACACCACAGTTTTGGGAGACATAATTTATTTCCATAAAAGTAGGTTTCTATCCAAGAAAGTGAAAAATGTATGTCTTCACAAAACTTGTACACAAATGTTCTTAGCAGTATTTATTACTCATAAGAGCCAAAAAGTAGAGATAATAGGTGCCCACCAGCTGATGAATGGATAAGAAAATGTGCTATATCTACATAATGGAGTATTGTATGACAATAATAAAAAAAGAAATAATGACAAATGCAACATGGATGAAACTTGAAAACATTATACTGAGTGAAAGAAGCCAGTCACAAAAGACAATATAGTGTATAATTCCACTGATATGAAATACCCAAAATATATAGCTCTTTAGAGACAGTAAGTAGATTGGTAGTTGCCTCGGTTTTAGGTGGAGGTAGGATCTGACTGCTAATGGTTATGGAATTTCTTTTTGGGGTGATGAAAATGTTCTAAAATTAATTATGGTAATGGTTGTACAAATCTGTGAACACACTCGAGAAACCAAACTGAACTCACTGCCATTGAGTTGATTCTGATTCATAGTGGACCCCCATTGGGTTTCCAAGGCTGTAAATCATTTTGGAAGTAGGTCATCCCATCTTCCTTCTGTGGAGTGGCGGGTGGATTTGAACTGCTGACCTTCTGGTTAGCAGCCAGATGCCTTATCCACTACACCACAAGAGCTTCTTCATGAACATGCTAAAACCAAAAACGAAACTCACTGAACACACTGTTGTTGTTGTTATATGCCATCCAGTCAGATCCGACTCATCATGACCCCTCCTTAGGTTTCCAAAGTGGTATCACTACGGAAGTAGATTGCCCAGCCTTCCTTCTGAGGAGTGGCTGGTGGGTTTGAACCTCCAACCTTCTGGTTAGCAGTCAAATGCCCTAGGCACTAGCTACAAGAGCTCCTACTGAACACACTAGAAACTGTTAAATTATATACTTCAAGTGAGTGAATTGTATAGTATGTAAATTATATTTCTATAAAGCTGTCATAAAAATTATTATAGGGAAAAGATTAGCTTTGTGTGGCTTAGATATGTTTAATTTTGGACTTGTTTTTCTTGAGGTATACTTGCCACATCCAGTTATGTTATTCGATAAAACCTGTTCCAGAGCTTAACAGTGAGCTCAGGGCCTTGGAAGTTATTGGCATCAAGATAACAGGTAACATTGTGATACAATGAATAAGTTAATTTGTGCAAGGAAAAGATGATTAATATTGGAGAATAGGATAACATAAAAAATCAGACAAGGAAAAGGAGAACTAGAAAGTGACCAAGAATGTATGATTCAATAGCCTTAGGATAAAAAAGGCGTCATGGAAGCCAAGGGAGGAAAATGTGTCCAGGAAGGTGCTGTTAAGAGAATCAGTTGTCTTGGCCCAGAAGGGTTGGGTTGAGATAGATGAAAGTACCCCGGAGAATGTTACCTTGACCACTTAGTGAGAACAGTCACAGTGTCCTGGTGTAGGGGGCAGAAGCCATTTTCTTAGAAAGTGGAAGGACTACCTGTTCTGGTTACCTAGTGGCCGCTCTGACAGGAATATAACCACAAATGGGATGGCCTTAACAAACAGGAGTTTATTCTCTTATAGTTTGGAAGCTTTAAGTCCGAGTTACAAGTGCTAGGCTCTAGGGGCTGGGTGAAAGCCCCTCAGTCTTGGGATCCATCTCTTCCTTTGCTCTGCCCACTGGAGCTAGAGGCGTTTCTTCACTCAGACAGCTGTTGGCTGCTGAGGCTGCCAAGCCCAAAGTTGACAAGTAAAAAGGCACAGTCCTGATGTTACCAAACCACAGGTCAGACTATTAATTTAAGTCCATTATAAGACCCAAGGTCGGCAGAGCATGGTAGGCTGCTGAGCAATGACACGGCTGCATGCAGGGTCCAAGCATGCCCAAAGCTAGAGACCATTCCCAAGGCTGCTGCTTATATACAGGAAGCAGATCACATACCCAAAGCAGCTACTCAGCTGCTTGTGGTAGATCCCACCACGGAGTTGATTGCCAATCTCATCATGGGGAATAACTACCACCAGCTGCCCAGCCACTCAGCCAGGCCCAGCCAAGTTGAAACAGAAACATAACTACCACACTACCTAAGTAATTTTACATGCTGCATGGCTTCAAGAGAAAGAACAAAAGATGTGCATTGTTTGGGTTAGGTTAGCTTTAAGTTGGAAGAGATGTGTTTTATTTTCAGTAACTAATGCTGAGATTGTTGGCTAGCTATTTATGGGGATATGAAAAGATTTCGATTTTTTTTTTTAAACACCAAACAGCAAAGTGAATTAAAAAGCTAAAAGGAGTAAGAAATCATGAGTGATTTAAAAAATAGTAGTGAGTGCCAATTGTTTGGTGAGTATTAGGGACAAGAACTTTCTAGTTTCAGAGTAATAAACATGAAAGACTAAATAAAGGAGATTAAAGACTAAATGCAATATATATTTTTTAATTGGATCTTGTACCAGAAAATAAGACTAGCATTAATAAGATCATTATCTATAAGAACATTACTAGAACGCTGAAGTAAAAGGATAAAGTAACATCCTAAAATTACATGGGAAAAATTAAAGAAACATTTTGGCAAGAAAAAATAAAGTATATATAAATGAGTAAAGGATAAGAACAGACATTCACAAAAGAGGAAGTACATATGATTGATATATACATACACAAACACACACACCCCATTTCAAGGAGCCTTGGTGGCACAGTGGCACAGTGCTTACCTGCTAACCAAAGGTTGATGGTTAGAATCCACCAGCTGTACCCTGGGAGAAGAATGTGGCAGTCTGCATCTGTAAAGATTTACAGCCTTGGGAACCCTATGGGACAGTTCTACTCTGTCCTATAGTGTCACTATGAATTGGAATTGATTCAGTGGCATTGGGTTTGATTTTTGCTATGTACAATAGTTACTTTAAAATAGGGACATTTTCTTATTACTCATGTAACTATTACTTATGGCTTGAATTTAAAAAAATAGGTACTGTATATAGAAAGGGGGCCTTGCGCATGTCATTTATGTTGATGAATTCTCACTGGCAATATGGCATATTACTTTTTGAGTATCTTTCTTTCCCTGAAAATTTGCCTTTATATGTAATTTAAAATTTTAATGGCGAAATGAGGAAACCATTAAATACAAATTTGATTTCTACTCCTTGACTATAACCCCTAGTTACCCTTTAGGCCTGGAATTGAACTCACTCCCATGGCTTCCAGCTGAACAATAGATAGGCATATAGGGTGAACATTTACACCAGGTAGATACACTCTTTAGAATAATCAATCATAGGAGAATAGGAGAACAGTGATTGTACAGGGAGATAGCTCAGGGGCCCAGAACACTGTTTGGGTACATCTTGGGAAATGCAGTCAGTTTCATGAAACAAAATGTGTATGAACTGCTGTATGGAAAAAGCATTTGCTTTGTAAATTTTCACCCAAATCATAATAAATTTGGAATGTTAAAAGAAAATTTGATTTCCAGTATTTTTGAGCCATATACTTTATGTTCCTGTAGGGACATATCCAGTAGTTGACCTTTATTCATTTACATTGTATTTATTAGGCACCATCTTCCTGCAAAGTATCTTTTTATACAGATGATAAGGTGATTACATTCCCATTGGAATGGTGTGCTTAGTAAAATCTGTGGTCTTCCTAAAAGGTTAGCAGATTGCATTTTAGAAAATAACTTCTGTATATATTTAATGTTCTACAAAGATACTGTGGGAATCAGGATCACATTTGTAATAGTTATTTTATGTATAACTTAATTAGTGGTATTTTAAACAACAGGACTTTTATTCTATGATTTTGCAGTTGATAAAAATGGTGATGTGTGCATTTCTATTCTTCATGAGCCTGGGGAAGATAAATATGGTTATGAAAAGCCAGAGGAACGCTGGCTACCCATCCACACCGTCGAAACCATCATGATTAGTGTCATTTCTATGCTGGCAGACCCCAACGGAGACTCACCGGCTAATGTTGATGCTGCGGTAAGTTCACATGCACACATCTCTCTTGCTGTCTTACTCAGTCCCTTTAATAAAACTCAACTAGAACTACAGTATCTCCATTTCTGTGTGTTCATTTGTTTTTCTCCTGAATCCATATGAAACTAAGTTGCAGATATAATTAAGCCTCAATTCTACATACTTGTGCCTGCATTTATTAGTAATACACTATCTTACATAATTATATGCCATTGTCATGCCTAAGAAAATTTAATATCAAGTCTTTGTTAAAATCCATTATTATTATCCATAAGTTTTTATTTTTTAAAATTTCAGATTTCTGGAAAACTACATTAGTTAAATGACTACCCCTATACCCTTCACCGGGAGCTCTGGTAGCGTAGTGCCTAAGGCACTTGACTGCTAACTAGAAGGCTGGCGGTTCAAACCCATCAGCCACTCCTCGGAAGGAAGATGGGGCAATCTACTTCCGTAGTGATACTGCCTGGGAAACCCAAGGAGAGTTCGCTGAGTCGAGTCCGACTTGATGGCACATAACAACAACAACAATAACAACATACCCTTCACCTAGATTCACCAACTGTAGAGATTTTGCTACTTTTTTTGCAAAACTATTTTAGAGAGTAGTTTATAGATATCATAACCCTTTACCCCAAATAGGTCGGCATACATCTCCTAAAAATAAGAGCATCTTCTGTATGAGAATAATACAAGTCTGTCATTGATAAAGTATACTTATTAAATATACTTGGTCCATATTTACGTTTCTCCAATATTTTTTATAGCTGCCCATTTTTTGTTAAATCCAGAATCCAGTCCAGGAATATGTATTAAACTATATATTTATGTTTCATCAGAGTTTCTGTAGGAGCTCTGGTGACATAGTACCTAAGGCACTTGACAGCTAACCAGAAGGCTAACGGTTCAAACCCACCAGCCACTCCTTGGAAGGATGATTGAACAATCTACTTCCATAGTGATGCTGTCTTGGAAACCTAAGGAGGAGTTACTTTGAGTTGGATCTGACTCTACAGCAGTGAGTTTTTTTTTTTTTTTTAAGAGTTTTTTAAATAGTTCCCAGTTTCTTGGTCTTCTGCCTTTCTTTGATAAAACCCTTTCTCTAATTCTTATTCTTAATGTTTTAAATTCTGGGAACTTTTGTTAGTATATTCAAAGCTAAGAGATTAAATCTACCACCCCTCCTTGGCTAATTCAAACCTACTATATAAAAACCTGGGTAAAATACATAGAAAAAGACTATAGAAAGTCCCTTTTAAAATCTATAACTGAATTTTTGGTTATAGTAATAGAATTGAACTAAAAACTGGCAGGAAATCACTTTAACTTTGTATTTAATCAATTATTAATTCAAATATTAGTGACAGGAGAAAGAGTGATGACTGCTTTTAAAAAAATAATCTTATGGAATAAGATACTGCTAAAACGGTAGCAGTAGGAGTATTAGAACGTGTCTAACTTCAGGAGGCTGATAATGACTAGGATTGGCCCAAAGCTGATTGCCATGATCTGAAGGCCAAACATACCTCCACTCTCCAACCTTTTTTACCAGTTCTGACACCAGCCGACCCTCCCACAGGACTCTCTATTTCTATTCTGGGCTAGATAATCCATTGCAATGGCTGCCCAGAACTTACAGACCATACTTAAGTGGTTTATTAAGGAAGTTGCAAGGTACAACTTGGCATCAGGAGCAGGTAGGCAAAGTGTGGAAAGTTCCCACAAAGAGAAAAGCACATCGTTCCCTTCTTCAGTGCAAGGCAGCTCTCTGATCCCTGCAGGCCTCTTCTTGGCTCCCTCAGGATAGGCCCTCTTGGCCCTGCTATCTCTTAGCACCGACTTTGCCTAGCTTTTGCTGTCTTTGGTGACCTGTGTTACAGGTCTTTTATGAAATTCCTTGCCATTGAGACATCTTTAGATTGCCAATTTCCTCTCCTCTGGTGCCTGTTTCTATAAATATTCTACCTGCATTTGGTCTTCCATAAATTTGCAGGGTATGTGTGTTCTCAGTATTTCGTGGCTTCCATGTCACTTTCTTTGTTGTTTATACCTTTCAAACAGAAGTTCTAATATTTTATTAGGATCTCAGGATAGAAAGGAAATAAACATATAAACTTTTGCTATATAGAATTTATAGGTCTCCTATCTATAAGATGGAGCTCTGGTGGCATAGGGCTTAAGGCACTTGACTGCTAACCAGAAGGCTGGAGATGCAAGTCCACTAGCCACTCCTTGGAAGGAAGGTTGGGCAATCTACATCATAGTGATACCACCTTGAAAACCCAAGGAGGGGTCGCTATGAGTCGGAGCTGACTCGTCAGCAGTGAGTTTTTTTTTGGGGGGAGGGGGGTGGATATATATAAGATGAAGATGATACCATTACCTATTTGGTAATCAGGAGTGCATGGTACAGTGGACTCAACAAATGGTAATTTGCCAGCTATCATACTTTGGAACTGTCATCTTCTGCTCTTCACTAGAAGTCATCCTTGCCCAGTCTTATCTCAGTCACCAGAGAATGGTAGTGATATCTCTTGAAACTCTCTTCCATCTTCTGTCATTGACTTCAGTCCTTTTTACTTCCTACTTAAATTGTTTTAATAGGTTCCTATCTAATTTCCCTGTTTCTAGTCTTATATTTGGGAGCTCTGGTAGTGTAATGCCTAAAGCACTTGACTGCTAACCAGAAGGCTGGCAGTTCAAACCCACCAGCCACTCCTTGGAAGGAAGATGGGGCAATCTACTTGACTAGTGATACTGCCTCGGGAACCCAAGGAGGGTCGCTATGAGTCGGGTCCGTCTTGACAGCACATAACAACAACAGTCTTATATTCTCTCTGCTACAGTGGTGTTTTTTGGTGATTCTCTACCCCCCCCCCCCCCCCCTTTGAGATTGTCTTTCCTTCTTTGCCTGGAATTGCCCTTTCTTCCTTTTGGTTAGAAATGATGAGTTAGAGATATCATAACATTTTACCCACAAATACTTCAGGAAAAACACCTCCAAAAGATCAGAACATTCTCCTATGTAATTATGAAACCGTTATCTTACCTAACCAAATTAATTGTAATTACATAATACATTGATATGTCCAATTTATAGTCATATTTCTATAATTGTCCCCTATAATGTTCAAAACTACTTCCTTCTCAGGCTTGGTGATAACTGAAAGACTTTCCTGATCTTCTAGACTAAATTAGTTCCCTTCTTTCATAGTCCGTAGTAGTCTTTGCACATACAGGTTATAATTTGTCTCACAGTTTATTGTAATGATTGGCCTATTGGTGTGTCTTGCTTTGAGGACAAAATTGCTTTTTGAATCTTCCTCTGAAAGAGAAAGGATTAAAGATTCCTGTAGTCTTTGCTGTCCTTATGGGAATGATATTCAAAAAAAGAAAAATGACTGGGTATTTTGTAAGAATTTTCTATTTACATGTTTGGTGTTGTTATGTGCTGTCAAGTCGGACCCAACTCATAGTGACCCCTCCTTGGGATTCTGAGGCAGTATCACTAGGGAAGTAGATTGCCCCATCTTCCTTCCGAGGAGTGGCTGGTGGGTTTGAACTGCCAGCCTTCTTGTTAGCAGTCAGGTGCCTTAGGCACTATCAACTCTCTTCTCTTGTGAAACTATTCTAGGGCTGTTTTATGTTCCATCTTCACACTGCTGGCTGTGATAATGTTATTGTCATATGTATGTGTTTTAACTTTTTGCACTAGAAATTGTATACAAGAGCATTTCAGTATGATTCATGTGTTTTCCCACCCATCTACCTTATACACAGGCATTTTATGTCTACTTTATTTCCTGGGAGAGCTGGCAATCCTTCATATATCCTAAAATGTCTTATTTGTAAATTGTAGCTTTCTTTTCAGTGTATAGACAGACATCCCCTGGATTATGAATGAGTTACATCCCTAAATCAGTCTTTAAGTTGAATGTGTGTGAAAGTCAGAACAGTTTGGTATGTTTTGTTTCTAAGGTCAGTTAGTCAAATTGTTTGTGTTTAAGGTATATTGTTCTGTGCATAAAAAACATTAAAGAAACACTTCCAGATAGATTAAAACATCTTTAACATATAATACGGTAGTAACAATGTTTTGATGCATGTCACAAAATAGTGCTTGTATGTTATTACAAACCGTTATGTTGTTGTTGTTGTTGTTATGTGCCATCGAGGTGGACCTGACTCATAGCGATTCCTCCTTGGGTTTCCGAGGCAGTATCACTACAGAAGGAGATTGCCCAACCTTCCTTCCAATGAGTGGCTGGTGGGTTTGAACCGTCAGCCTTCTGGTTGGCAGTCAAGTGCCTTAGGCACTATGCTACCAGAGCTCCTACAAACCATTATATGTACCTCAAACTTTTAATGTAATATTGTTTATGGGGATCAATTTGTGAAGCAGATTGAATGTAAGTCAGAGATTCATAATCCAAGAACTGCCTGTAATCAAAGCTTTTTTTTTTTTTTTTAAAGAATTTTGACTGCACAAGTCATTTGCATAGATTGCTGCTCATGTATCCCAGCTGAGTGCCTTGTATGGAAGTATTTTTTAATTCCTTTGCTACCTTATCTCTGTCCAACATTTTAAAAGTACATAAATTATCAAAGCATACATATGATATTAAAATTAGTATTTGAGATTATAAGGGGAGTTTGTGTAGAATCATTTTATATTACTTTTACACCTATAGAAAGAATGGAGGGAAGACAGAAATGGAGAATTCAAAAGGAAAGTTGCCCGCTGTGTAAGAAAAAGCCAAGAGACTGCTTTTGAGTGACATTTATTCTGCAGCTAGTAACTTCACTTATTTCAGGGTAAGTTTATTTTAAAACCATACTACTGTTTTTTTTCTTTTTGTAAATGCCATATATGTTTTGAGAAACAATGTAACTTTGGTATTTGAATTGCTTGTTTTCAAACTGGCTTTATTTTTTGGTGCTATTACCCAGTAGTCTGCTGATTCTTAAAGTATTTGGTGTAACCTACATACTTTCCTCCTTTAGTCCATCCAGCTGTTTTTAAACTAGATAATTCTGTGTTAAAATGGCCTGCATGTTGGTGGTCAGTTTCTTTTCACTGATGATACAATTTCTAATGTTAAGGGATTTTATTTACTTCCTTTTAGTTTCTTTTGTTTTAACTTTTGGTCTACCATCTTGACCATTGCTGGAACTGAAGTTTCGTATTTTTTAAAGAAAGATCCTATTTCATAATACACTACAAAGACCATTAAATACCTACCTGTCTTGCATTCATTGGTCTTTATATCCTTGTTCATTGCTGAAAGGGCTAGCAGGAAAAAATTTCGCTTTATTGTATAACATCAGTTCATAAGTTTATCTTAGGACTAGCAGAGTATCAAAGATAGAAGGCACCCATCTGACTTAGAGTAGAACACAGAGTTAATCACACATGTGACATTTAAATTATTTGGCTTTTTTTTTTAAAATAAATACTGAGGTAATTAAAAACTACTTATGGAAAGCAGTGTAGAAAGGATCACAGTTCAGGGTTCTATTAACTTTGACATCCTCTTTTCATATCCCCAATTCTGTGTTTACAGTTTCTTTTCATCATAATTTTACCCAAGTTTTTATTCTTAAACGGTATTGCGTGTTGTTGAACTATATATATGTGGAATTATAATTTTTGTATTATGTGACTTCTTTTTAACTTTTTATTGTGATTTGGGTAAAAATTTACAGCACAAACCTGTGGCTTTTATTACTTAATATTTTATTCTTGAAATTGATTCTTATTGTGTGTGTAGGAATATTTCATCTGTTTTCACTGTTGTATAATACTTCATGAGGTAAATTACTTTTCTATTCTTTTTCTTATTGCAGTTATTTTTCAACTTGCTTTTTTGCTTTTGCTATTATAAAGAATATGACTATCCTCGTTTTCTGCTGCACAGTGTGACCACATTCTTCCCATTTTCACCCTGTTTTACCATTTCCCTTGGTCCTCTTTTCCTATCCCTTCCTGCCTTCTGAGCTTTATCCCTGGGCAAATGCTGCCCTTTGGATCTCGCATGGTTGATTGTTCAGAGGAGTGAATACCTTCCTGAGTGTACTCACCTTACAGGCTTGTCTGTCATTAGCTGAAAGTTGAGCCATGTGGATTGATTTCAGTTCCCAGCTTGAAGGGTGTCTGAAGGCCATAGTCCCATGGTTCCACCAGTCTTCATCAGACCAGTAAGCTTGGTCTTTTTAACACTTTTGAGTTCTGTTCTGCATTTTTCTCTCATTGTATATAGGACCTCCTCTTCTTTCAGAGTGATCAGCAATGGTACCCAGGTACCATAAAGATCTTCTGGCCTCAGGGTCATGTAGGCTGGGGTTCATGTAGTCATTGGTCTTCCATCTATTCATCAGCATATAATCTATAATATTGACATGAATAAGGATTGTTTCATATTCTCTATAGTATTTAATATTACCAGACTTTGGCAGTGTTTTAAATCTGGAGAGTGTATAGTGGTGTGTCATTGTGGTCTTAATATGCATTGTCTTGGTTACCAGAGCTATTGCATTATTGTTTCATGTGTTTGACTGTCAAAGCTTCCTATGTGAAATGCATGTTTAGGTCTTTGGATTGTTTTTCTATTAGGTTGTTAATTCCTAGCATTGTCATTTCAGTTTCTTTATGGGGTCTTTGAAAAACAGGCGTTCTTAATTTTAATGTATTTGAATTTCTTAATCCTTTTCTTTATGGATTTTACTTTTTGTGTCTTAGTTAAGAAATCTTTCCCTTCCATGCCTTCAAAAAGTTATTGTTCCATATTGTCTTCTAAAAGTGTTTTAGCTTTGCCTTTCATATCTTGTGTTGAATCCACTGACAATGATTATTCATGTGGTATGAAGTATGGGCTCATCTCCATTTGAACAGTTGATTGTACCATTCATCATTGACAAATTCATCCTTTTACCAGTGATACACAATGCCAGTTATGTTATCAAATCACATTTCCAGATGCGTGTGCATCTGTTTATGAATTTTCTGGTTTTGGTTGTGCAAAAAGGGCATTTTTTGGCATCTTCTTCTGACCTCCTCCAGCCTCATCAGAAGGGAACAGAATTACCATCAGCAGCCCAAGGCTGATTCCTATGAGGCCAGACATACCACCATTCTCTAGGCTTTTTACCAATTCTGACACTAACTGCCCTCCTTCTACAGCACTCATTACTTCTCTTCTGGGTTTGATAATTTGTTGCTGGGGCCACACAGAACTCACAGATAATACTCAAGACTGTAGGGTTTATTAGGGGAGTAATAGGTTACAATTCAGGTTCAGGAACACCCAGGATACAATTTTTCAATCAGGACAATCTCCCCTTGGCCATGTCCAAAGGCCTGCTTCTCTTTGGCCCTTGGCCTCTTGGTCTGGTCTCTTGTCTGCTTGGACAAGTGTTACAAAGCCCTTTCTTCTGTGCCAATAGGGGCACCTAGTTGCATCCTACTCTGCCAGCAAGCCTCCTACCCAAAGGCACTCAAGTTTTTTGCTCCGTGGACCAGGAAGCCTGCTGCTCTGTCTCATGCCTCTTGGTTCTGCTGCCACCATCTCTGAGCAGGTCATCTCAGCTAATTGTCTCTTTTGTCTCTCTGCCAAAGAGGTCCAGTGCAGGGATCTCAGGTCCAAGGATATGCTTCATTTCATCTTCAGCTCTTCTCTCTTGGCAATGAGATATCCCCTTCTGCCTCTAGGAGGGGCTCATTTTAAGCCTAGTGTGATGGCAAAACTGACTGATCCCCACATTAGGGTCTCAAACACCTTATTTGTGTGCCCCCACCCTCACAAGGGTGCCATGTACCTGTTTACATTATTAGCAAGCTATATGGTCCCCTTGGTGAGCCACAAGTACATCACATTTGCATAATTCCACCTAGTCGTCTGGTGGGAGTCACAAAGACCGTATAAAAAAAGCCATATAAAGTAATTCAGGTTGTTTGGTTTGTCTATCCCTGAACCAGCATCACACTATCTTATTTGTTATTTTCATGATTAATTGTATTAAATGCAAAGATACAAATCAGTAAGGTTAAAGTTTATACACCACTCATCTTGTTTCCATGTTTGAAAGCTCTGTTTTTTTGATGAGATTTATATGTACTTTTCAATCTTCTTGTAATAACCTAAATATGCTGAAAGTTGAACTAAATTTTTCCATTACAACCAAATACACCAATAACCTTACAGTCTTCAAATTATTTGTTTTTTTCACCATCTTTTTAAAAATTTTCCTTTTTTTTTGAATTGTGGTTTAGGTGAAAGTTCATGTAGCAAATTAGTTCTTCATTCAATAATTCATACACATTTGGTTTTGTGTAGTTGGTTTGCAATCCCTTCAGTGTAACAGCACTCTTCCCTCTTCCTCCCTGGGTTCCCTGTTGCTGTTTGTCCTTCTTTCTTGTCCTTCCTGCCTTTTGAACTTGTTTTTGGGTAACTGCTGTCCTGTTGGTCTAGTATGGGTGATTGTTCTGAGGAGTAAGTTTTTCATGGGTGATGTTATTGTTTACTCTATAGGCCCGGCCTATCTATTGCTTGGCTGTAAGGTGATCCCTGGGAGTGGATTCAGTTCTGGATTTGAAGGGTGTCTGACGGCCATAGTCTTGGGGATTCCACCAGTTACTATTAGACCAGTAAGTCTGGTCTTTTTCATGATTTCCAGTTTTGTTCTACATTTTTCGCACAGTCTGTACAGGACCTTCTTTGTAGTCCCCAATCAGAGAGGGTAGGTAGTGGTAGCCAGGCACCTTCTAGTTCTCCTGGTCTCAGGCTAGTGAAGGCTGTGGTTCATGTGGCTTATTAGTCTTTTGGACTAATTGTTTTCTTGAGTCTTTGATTTTCTTCATTCTTTTTTGCTCTGGACTGGGACAATAGTTGCATGTTAGATGGCTGCTTGCAAGCTTTTCAGTCCCCAGTTGATACTCACCAAAGTTGTTTTTGTGCACTGTGTTATGCCAGTTGACCTCGATATCTCCCGCGAGTATGATTCTTAGTCCCTAAGCCCAGTCATTCATTTCCTCAAGGTGTTTGGTTATAGCTAAGACGTTTTCATAACTTTGCCCCTTGTATGCTGTGCTAAATACCTGGATATATTTGTAGCACATACAAATGTATATACAGAACTATCCTCTGCCAAACCTCTCTGTACTTACCTGTATGTTGCATGTCTACCTGTTTATCTATTTGTAGATTATTGTTTATTAATTGCAGGATTATGTATGTAATAGTATTTACCTTTGTTGCATCTAACTCTTGTGCACTTCACAGTGTCTTCCTTCGTCTTGTTCATGTTGTCCTACTCTCCCCCTTTTTGTGTATTGCCTTTCCCTTCACCCAGGTTACTGCCTGTTTACTCTTCAGTTAGTGATTTGACCTCCCTGCCTCTCAACATTTTTTATGTCTGCTTTTACTTCCTCTTGGATATTCAACCTGGATCAGTTCTTTTATGTGTATAACACCCAGATAGGAACAACAAAGACCTGAAAGGCTTATCGCTATGAATCGGAATCCACTCCATGGCAGTGAGGGTTTTTTTTTTTTTTTTTAAATACCTATTTTCCAGTCAGAAAAAACTAAGTGAAAAAAAATAACTGAAAAGCAACAAAATAAGCATATTGAAGCCTAAGTATATGCATAATTTTACTTTATAAATTTAGGATATAACCAAAAATTTATTGTTTATCTTGATAGGATATTACAAATTAATTGAATAATATTAATGAAGTGTTGGAGCCCTGGTGGCGTAGTGGTTAAGCACTCACCTGCTAACCACAGGTTGACAGTGCAATCCCACCAGCCATTCCA